AAAAAAAAAAAAACAAAAAAAAAACTTACCCAATCACCATTTTTTTTCTAGGCTCCATTTTTTTGCCAATATCTTGAAAAAGTTTATCTGTTGTGATCATATCCAACCACATTGATGTTGTTTCAAGATTTTTTTTGGATGAATCTTCTTAAAAAAGTGAGTCTTCCATTTTCTGATGTTTTCCCGCTGCTGCTGCTATCCCCCAATTTACTTACTAGGTTAAACTTATTAAATTTAATGTTTTATTGCTTATTTATTTATAGCCATTAGATTGTCATTTAATTAATTTAAGATCAAGGGCTGAAAAAATAGCTGTATGGGCTGCAGTAAGTGACTAACTGCAGCGCCCCCTACCCATGTTAATATATCGACGGCATGCACACATTGGTGATGTTAATATATTTAAAAAATACATCACCAATGCATGCAACATAAATGGTAGACATATCTATACTTATATTATAAGCAAACCTATTTACTAAATTCAGTATGTTGAATAGTCAACATAAATTAATAACTTTCTAATCTTATCAAGTGCATTAATTACGTGTAGTTTGGTCAAAAAAAATCTGATAAAATCAAGAAATAAAACGTGTATAGTAAGATTTGATCACAAATTTTTTCTTATCTTTTTTCCAATTTGGACGTGTATTTTTTTTTTTTATTTCAGATTTTTTTGTTTCTAAAATTCCATATTATTAAGGAAATAAATCACGCATTTGATAACAAATCTTTTCTTATCTTTTTTCCAATTTGGACGTGTATTTTTTTATCTCAGATTTTTTTGTTTCCAAAATTCCATATTATTAAGGAAATAAATCACGCTCTCTCTTTCACAAATAAAAACAAATTTACAACTAATATAACTAACGCATCTCATAGTATTATGCAAGGAATAATTTATAATTATATTTATTTATAAAAGATGATAAGAATAGTTTAACATTCTTATCTCACTGGCAGATGAAAAGATATTCCACGTTTTAAAATGTTATACTCCTCAAATAAATAGTTTTCGTGCCTCGCACAGGTCACGTACTATATATCCCGTACATTTTTATTCATTTATATAATTACAAGATTAGATATATGACCTTAAAATTGTACACCCCGTGCATCGCACGGGATCTGTACTAGTTAACATGTGTCCACCGTGGATAAGTAAACATTAATAATTAGTAACTGAGGCCTCGTTTACTTTGTATGATAGGAGGGGATAACTTAAATTGTCGCTCAATATCCGATGTTTACATTCATTGATTGGGACATGACTAATTGATGTGGAAGCACATGTGGCGGCAGGGCCCACAATGAGTCCTTTGTTGCCCGATTATTTCTGTCCCGCCTAGACCCCATGATTTTTTTTTAACCTGCAATGTTCATGACTTTTTTGTCCTCAAAATTGTATGTATAAATACGACAATACCCCTCAACATTCAAATAAGTACAATAACCTACCATTTAACTATTCAATTCTCTGCTGAATTTTGCCCCAACCTAGCAATCGAAAGTGCAGAGGGGTTTGGAGCTCATCGCCATTCCGTCGCCAAGGTAAGCTCAAATCTCACTTGTTTTTTTGGATAATGCAAACACGACTTCAATTATTCTTGGCCGCTCTCTTCATAAACCCTAGTTTTTCAGAGTCGAGTTTTGTTGGATTCGGCATTGTCTGTGCAACTTCGATTTGCTTTTTTTTTTTT